AATATAAAATTGTGATTTATGGGAAATGGGCGTGGTTTTTCTCCGATTTCACTCATTTTCATAATTTGACATATGAGTGACAGTACAATATCATCTATCGAATTTGGTTTAAGTCGGTCGGGCGAGTGACGATTTAAGTGACTTCACCAAAAGAGGGCGGACCCACGCCTGTTGTCCAATTTTTAGTTTGTTACCTATGAAGCTTTCTTGTACTATCTCCCAACCTCTTAAAATGTAGCCATGTCCCACTCATTCCTTCTCGCAACTTCAGACCGCCCGTAAATTATTTCCCTTAATATTTCTCATTTGATCATTCATTTCCGATGGGTTTTGGTTTACTATGAATTTAATAGGGGGTAATTGTTCCTTAGTTCCCTTTTCACATTCCTCCTTTGTAGTACTGAAAAAGACAGAGTAAGGTCAAAAAACCACTAACACAAGCAATTTGATACCATAATTTAATTTCACTTTCTAACTGAGTCAACCGCATTAATTCGTCTTAAAACTGTTAATTGTCATCCAAATTGGTTTCTCAACTGAACCCTTACTGTGTCGCTCTTCTGCACTTGACTCACAAAAAATTGGCCATTAACATTTATGTGAAAATCACCAAACGCTCCTCATAACACCCTAGACGAGTAAACAAAGCCTAGCAGAACTATCTTTGAAAAAAAAAAGAGAAAAAACAAAGCACGCGATAAGCGACAACTTGGAACAAAAGAAAATTTTTTAAGAGGAATCCTTTTGTGCGGCAAAAATAGATGCAAACTTAAAGTAAGAACACAAAAGCAACAAAAACAACGCGCGCTAACAATGGAAGTATGCCAAGACCAAAAGCAGACAAGACCAGACAACGGGGCGTATGAGTAACCGTAAACTATGCGCACAGGCCTGCCAGCAGGGATAACGGAATGTCTGTGCATGTGATTGTGGCATGTGAGTATGTGCAACGCATTTTGAGTGAAGACAGGCTGCGACCGGAGAGAGGAGTGTACAATGGTGGGCAAGAAATGTGTGAATGAGCACTTTACTCATGAATGAGCGTAAATTGAAAGGAAATATAAACAATAGGCGGCGGGGGTGGCGCTGCGGAAAAAGCGTGATGTGTGGAGAAAACACTTGCTGTAAAACAACAACAACGATGGCGCGAAAAAAGCACTTAACGGCAGATGCGTGCGATATTGAGACAACAAAAAAGCTGCGCTGCATGCAAAAAGTGGGAAATAACAAAAGCCACACATTCTGCCTGAAAAAATATAAGAAAAAACATACAGAACATGAAATGCCTGTAACTATTCCATACACACCACATGCTTTCTTCTCTTCACTACAGAGTACGTGCAAAGCATTAACAGCTCTTAGGCGCGGATGGGGAGATATACCTAGGTTGTGCTCCTACGACTAATGAAGCATACTCGTCTGTCACTGAGTACTCCTAACTACGTGCAGATAATTTAGACATTTTCTCGGCTCGAAAAAATGAATATTTGTTCATAAATGGGTGTGATGAAAGAGTATTTGTTGAGCCAGCCGGTGGATGACAGCAGAAAAAATTTAATAATAGCTTGGCTACATATCTACTGTGGTGAAGCTACTATTCGATTGATTGGCATTGAGTAAAAGAATAATTGAGTTCTTAGCCAATACTTATTGGAACGTCAGGTAGTGACAGTGCAAACCGCCAACTATATATATAGGTTGTCAAAAAAGTCTTGCGGTATTTTCGCTAGTTGGCGCTGAGAGCGCGTAGTTCTAGTTTTATTCGTCGCATCGGGTCATGCTATACCTTTTTGGAAAGCTCATGTCACGCGCTAACAAATGTTTAATTGATTGTCGTTTCTTTTAAGTCGTTCGTGAGTTATAGCGTCGCAAACATGGAGCAAAATAATGAGAAAATATGGCATATTTTACAGTACTACTACGATAAAGGCAAAAATGCATCTCAAGCCGAAAATAAAATTTGTGCAGTTTATGGACCCGATACAGTTTCCATTTCCACCGCACAATGATGGCTTCAACGTTTTCGTTCTGGTGTAGAGGTGGTCGAATATGCGCCACGCTCCGGAAGGCCTGTCGTCGAAAATTGCGATAAAATCGCTGAATTGGTCGAAAGAGACCAGAATAATAGCAGCCATAGCATCGGTCAAGTGCTGGGCATGAGTCATCAAAAAAAAAAAAAAAAATTTACGAACAATTGAAAATTCAATAAAAATACCGCAATACTTTTTTGACATCCTAATATTTTGGAAGAAATGCTTCCAAAAATCCATCAGTCACTCTCAAATCGATATATAGGAGCAATGTCAGCGCAAGTGTTTTGTAATTTGCATTGAAATATTAGAATATCAATGTTCTTATGTAATGAATCCGCGGACTCGCCATTGCCAATGCACAAATTATCATACTTCTTCCTCAAAACCTTTTTCTCGAACGCTCTCAAGGCCGGTTTATCAGACGAAAGCATAGTCCACATCTCCAAACTATATAGCAAATTTGGTCTTTGTTCGTCGAGAGAGTATCTTACTTTCCTACTTCGACCAAAGTAGCACCTGTGGTCAAGAGTAATTCTGCTTTAATTTCCAGGCTGATATTGTTGACGCTGACTCCAAGGTAGACGAAATTATTTAAGACTTCAAAATTAAGATTAATTCAATTGATCCACACAGATGCATAGTCTCCTTCAGAGTGATGAGTTTCCACTTCGACAGTAATGCAGCGATATTAGCCTTGAGTTCGCAGACTGTCCGAGAAAGCTATTTAGGCTTCCAGTTAACCGTAAAATAATTCAATGCTAGAGTCTAGACATTCCTTCATTAGGCTTGAGCATTCACAATCACTGTGGCATTGGAACGGGTAGGAGCTCCTTTGGCTTTTTTTAGTTCCGTGAGGCTCCTCTCGCCAATCGTCAATCGTAAGAGGTATAGGGAACTCTCTGCTCTCAGCAAGCTCCACCTTTCAACGGGTGTAGTAGTTCTAACTGGACTCTGTCCGATAGGTATTCATGCGGTACATCAGTTTTTTGAAAGAAAGTGAGATAAAATCATATCCACACTTCTTCCTCGAATGTTTCGTTCGATCCGATCTCATATTTTTGAACATTTAGGTAAAATAGCGAAACCAATAACTCATATCCAACTCAAAAGAGTTTTTCGACTTTCTTCAAAAGTACTATACAACAGTCTTAACAAAGAAAAACAATTCATTCAAACAGAGAAATTGAGTCGTCGCCTTGATTAAGCAGAAAAATTGATTGAAAGGAATCAATTAAACTGACAACACTGCAATTGAAATAATTTTTCGCTTCAAAACAATATCGCAGCCGATATTAAAGTATAACGCAAACACAACCTGATGAAGATTTATGACTGGTCATTACCGTTAAGATGGAAGACATTATATTTAAGTAGGGACCTTTATTCTGTTATTTAAAAGTCGCAACAATGTTTAAGAGTCTTTGTGTTGTGTGTGCAAGTATGTGTGCCCTCAACAGAAAGAAATTTCGCCGGCTGCCACTTGAAAGGGAACGGAAGAATAATAAAAGTTGAAAGCAGAAATAATGCGCAACACGTATTTATATGAGACAACAATAGCATGCGCTGTCTGCCGCCTTATTGCAGGAGCACACTCACCTGCTCCATATTCTATCTGAGCGCTAAATGCCATCAAAAGAATATTGTAAAGAAATCCGTGTGATAAATGTGGTGACTCAATTTTTGCTGACGTTCCTTATTATATTTAAGTTTGCGGAAAATTTAATAAGTGCTTGGCGTTGGTTAACCAGAAACCAGCGATTCGGAATTTTTATCGAATTGTGAAGTCTTAATATCTGCTTTGGAGTCATCCTCTTAGAGCCATGGCTGGCTGGTCGGTTGAGTGGACCAAAGCTCTTCATATCGGAGCCATTTCGAAAACTGCCACAGAGTTTGCTTAAAGCACGTTCGTTCTCTACGTTGAGGAAGACTGAAATGTTCTGCAAACAGATCCTCAGATACTCAGATCCTATCAAGAGCGCTCCGGTTTGCTCCGGACTTCCAACTTCGTGATGGTCTCCGCTTCTTGTCGTAGAATTTTCGAGCATTAACGTTATCGGCTAGCTTGCCAAGCTCTTCGTAATTACGTATTTTGGTCTCTCTCTTTTTTATTGCTGCAAATGCATCTGGCTTCCTTTTCAACTCTCGGTATCTATCCAATTCTGCACTAGTAGTAGCCGATTGTAACGTTGAGAGGTAAAACCAATAGTTTCGTTTGCAGCTGAACGTAAGGAGCTTGAAATACCGTGCCTTTTATCGAGTTGCTGATTAGTGCCCTCAGAGAGCAGAAGTGCAAATCGAGTAGAAAATCGTTTGGCTTTTTGTTGTGATTGCAGCTTCTCAACGTCGAACATTCCTTCTGTTTGTAGACGCTGGCTAGGTCATATTGTTCGAATGGACAGAAACACTTCAGCTCTGAGAGTGTTCGATATAGTACCCGTCGGGGGAGGCAGAGAAAGAGGAAGACCTCCACTTCGGCGACCAGGGGGAGAAGGACCTGGCTGGTATAAAATTACATCTCTTCGTTTGAGGGTCTTCACGTGATTAAAATTGGTAACTCCTGGGTTTTGGACACAGTAGCTATAAAAATATTGAGCTGAAAATTTTAAATTCTGCGGAATTTCCTTAACTTTCGAGTTTGGTGCTCTCTGTAAAGTTAAAGTGTAATCGCCTGACTCCTTTTGTCACTGTCTTCCTTAACTTATTTATTTAGAACTACTTACATAAGTGAAATACCGCTTCAAAGCATTTTGAAAGCTAAGAAAATCTTGTATTAATTCCTTTTCCTTTTCTCTTTTATTTCAGGTAAACACTTTTATATAAAATCCAAAGGTTTCCAAACAACACAGCAAGTAAAATCTAATCACTATATTTTTTAAAGATATATTTAATATTATTACAAACGAATATTTAATAAACTAAAATGTTAGCAATTAAATATTTTTACTGCTCAACATACATTGACGGTGTCTAAATTTTCTCCAATTCCTCCCCATTGCTGTTGACCTGCAGCTCGCCGCGCCGTTCATGCGGCATTGCATACCGAAGCTTACGCCAAAACCACGGATCTCCCCACTTTAGATAGGTGTTCATCTTCAGATAGGCTCGCAGATCTTGATCTAACAAGTCTGTTTCTTTAATTTCACCATGAACCACAAGAATAATACGCGAGCGACCCTCATTCACAGCGCACTGATGTGCTGTGCGAAACTCCATCTGAGCCCAATCGGATTCGATAAAATGCTGTGATAACACAATAATTGTACGACGCGACTGCTCGACCGAGTCAATAATCTGTTCCGGTATATAAGCGCCTGCCAACCAATCACGTACATGTATACAGACCTTAAAAGGCGGTGTACCCTGCTCCAATCCAGGCACTAGTTCCTTCTCCACAAATTCCTCATCGTGATGTGAATAAGAGATGAAGGCATCCCATTTGCGATCACGATCCACATCACGCTCACTCACACAGCACAAGCACAAGCGATGCGCATAGAGCCAGATTTTTAATTCGATACGGTATTTGTAGTAGCACAGTGCGGTGGTGGTGAGTGTCAGGCCCAAGGCGATTACACAAACCAAAATTACCACCAAAACAGTACGCACACCCACCTCTGGCAGGCAAAAATCGCGAAAGGAGAGATCAAGTAGACGCGCCAACTGTGGATTCTCGCAGCGCATGTCAGCCGCATCACCGAGCCGCCTACGATTGCTCTTTACAAAGCTAAGTAACGGCTGAGCGCTACAGTTACAATCCCATGGATTCTCCGAAAGGTGGACAGCGGTGAAGAACTGACTCGTATTCAATGTCTCAATTAATTTTGGACCGATTAGTTTTAGCTGATTTTGACGCACATCGAGGTCGGAGAGTGCATTGGTCGAGTGATTGCTGGAGCCCAGCCGATCGCAGAGATAATGTAATGAGTTATTGCGCAACAGCAGACGTTGTAGCCGTTGCAGACCTTCGAATATCGCACAATCTTCATCAGCTGCCCAATCGAGTTGATTATTTGTTAGATCGAGCTTTATTAAACGATTGGGTTGGGCGAAAGTATGCGAGGCGATTGTGCGTAGCTCATTGCTGTCGACCTCTAGTTCGATTAGGGACGTCAAGGGCGGTAGCACATCGGCAGCCAAATAACGCAAGCGATTGTGACTCAATGACAACTTCACTAGCTTGGTAGTTGCGTCAAAGAATCCCAATGGTATGTATTGTATGCCATTGTCCCCCAAATTTAATGTTTGTAGACCTTTCTGCTGTGATAAAAGTTTAGACGGCAGCTCATTCAGTTGATTGCTCATTAAATTGAGATTCCTTAACATCTTCAGTGGCGCAAATATATGTTCGGGAAGTGCAGTTATGCTGCAATTTCTCATGTAAAGTCCTCTAACCATTGTTAAATTCTGAAATATATTTTCACCCAAACGATTCTCGAAATAATGCCCACGGAAGGCGAGCTGACGTAGGCGTCGCAAGTACTGAAATGTATCACTCGGAAATGTCAAAAGCTCGCCGCTCAAAGTGATGTCATTAATATTTGGCACTGGCTTGAATAGATCAGTCGGCAATTGCGTGAAGTTCAAGTCGATGGTGAGTGCAAAAAGATCGGGCATTGGTGTAAGTATATCACCAGCAAGTTCCTGTCGCTGCAACTTTGACTCATTGAAGCTTGGCGGGTTCGTATCAGCGCTTAACTCTAAGGTGGTTACTTTGCGTAAACGATTGAAATCACTTTGGAAAATCTCGAGCGTTAGTTGTTTCATCTTTAAACCGTGTACATTCAGTGTTGATCGCGGCGTTAGCGCCAACTGGGCTAGCAGAGCGGAGATGTGCATGCAATTGTACGTGGTTGTGGAGGGAGTTTCTCGTACTGTGCCCAAATGTGGTAAATTTGAGAGCTTATTCACATGAAAGTCATTGCCACAGCGTAGGTCCACATCATTCACGTTGCTCACAGAAATATTTACTGAGGCTGAGCCACATATTATTTCGGTCGAATTGTTCACATCACGGACGCAGTCACATTTACCAAGGGCTGTGATATTCGCACAGTCTTCGGCTGTTATTGCTGGTACAATTTCTTGACCGAACGTTATAGCACGCAGTATGTGGAAATATGGAATAGCCACTAAAATTACCAAGACTAACTGCGACTGGCTCATTTTCCGTATCAACAATTATGGTTCCGTACACGTAGCTTTGTGAAGGTGGACTGAACTTTGTAATTGTAATGCTGTGAAGTTATTCTTGCTGGTGTCCACATAGTATTAATTGTATACAATGGGTTTCCTTTCATTTTGTGAATCTTCTCGAGCGCTCAATTGACGTTAGCAGGTATTGAAAACTTTTCTCTCTCGCTCTAATCACTGGGCTCTACAATAATTAGCGCTTAACAAATAATCGCTTTATTAATAAATAATAAAGATGTACATTCAATTATATTGAGCGCTTTAGTGAATGAGACTAGTGTGAAAGTGTGACTGATTGGCGGTTTGTGGCTTGTGCGAAGAGATAATTAATTGTGTGAATACTTATGAATCGCATTTTGAATATAATTTCACGGAAATTTAAGGTCTGAGGAAATAAAACAATTTTCACGTATTTTAATCATACTCATTATTATCGCCCTAAATAGGTTCCATGTGAAAATCGAATTAGATACTAGCCTAAAATAAGGTTATATCAATGGAGGACCATTTTCTTTATCCATTCGTTCGGTTAGCGTGTGAAGTTTAAATGGACCAGTCCAAGTCAAATTTGATCAGTTGGTATTACGTGCTCTCAATATGCGCTAACATTTTTTACAAACTTAAAGAAACTAAGAAAGCTTATTTAGAAATTTTTATACTCTCGCAACAAAGTTGCTAAAGAGAGTATTATAGTTTTGTTCACATAACGGTTGTTTTTAAGTCMTAAAACTAAAAGAGTCATATATAGGGTTATATATACCAAAGTGATCAGGGTCCGTCCGTGCAAGCTGTAACTTGAGTAAAAATTGAGATATCATGATGAAACTTGTCTCCATAAGAAGGTTAAGTTCGAAGATGGGCAAAATCGGTCCACTGCCACGCCCACAAAATGGCGGAAACCGAAAACCTATAAAATGTCATAACTAAGCCGTAAATAAAGATATTAAAATGAAATTTAGCACAAAGGATCGCACTAGGGAGGGGCATATTTGGACGTAATTTTTTTGGGAAAGTGGGCGTGGCTCCGGCCACTACTAACTTTTTTGTACATATCTCGAAAACTACTATAGCTRTGTCAACCAAACTGTATAGAGTCGTTTCTTTTAGGCATTTCCATATACAGTTCAAAAATGGAAGAAGTCGGACAATAACCACGCACACCTCCCACACAAAGATTATGTTGAAAATCACGGAAAGTGCGTTAACCGACTAACATAAAACGTCAGAAACACTAAATTTTACGGAAGAAATGTCAGAAGGAAGCTGCATTCAGG